AAAGGTAACCAGAAAGACGAAAGCCACTGACTTGAAACTGGAATTGGTGGGAAATTTGGGAGAATTGTAAGTCTGAGAAGAAGCACACAGAGAGGAAGCTTCGAGTGAATCACAGTAAAGGGAAAATGGAGATGGCTAAGGAGAGACTAAGTTGTGTGGAATGAGAGAATCATGGAGCCTTGTAATGGAGTCAGAGGCCACAAAGGATGTTACTTGTTAGTTGTTTGAGGTGATTGATGAAATCTTTGGCTTTTTTTAGGCTATGAATGCATTTGATATCGGTTCATCATCATTTGCATTTAGTTGCTTTTTTCAAATAGTTTGCAATATCTCTCTGTTCACTGAATTACAAAGAGAAGGTTGTTGCTAATAGATTGATTGACAGGGCTTCAATACGCAGATCCTAAGCATTGCTTGTAAACTCAAGAAAATGAAGAACAGGAGCAACTTACTTACTATTAGAAACCATTTGTGATGGTTATTAGAACAAACATTTCACATGTCTATGTTCTATTAATATATGGCTCTCTGGCCTCTGGCTGTTGTGCTTATGCTTTTATTCAGTACTAAGATCCGTTCGTTGGACGTTGATTTACCTCGTACATGAATTTTATGGATCTGCAGTCCGGAGAAGCTCAAGGAGTCCGCAACAATTCCTCCAAGTAGTTGGTTGCAGCGCGGGTTGCTTGGGGCACAGTAGAGGCATCTAAAAAACGAAATGGATAGTGTCTTAATGAACGAATGAGAAATGCTAAAGCTGCTATTGAATTGTTGCTTATGGAGAATGAAGTGTCAGTTTTTCTGTTCCGGGTTTGAGTTGCAAACCTTGGTTTCATCTTTAGGTACAGGATATTCATCTTGATGGGTTTCAGATTCTTCGACATGAGTTGAAACCGGTAAGGACCCGTCAAAATAATACCTGGAAAGGTTGGTATCAAGGTCTGAGTTACTGGATGAATCCTCGGCCTCCTCATCTGAAGCTGATGATGACTTGGATCCTTCTAGTAGTTCTGGTGAATTCTGATTCACTGCACCTAGATCTGCAATCTCGTTGCTATCGTTCAAGCTATGGAACACTGCATCTGTTTGCTGTGTTTCTGCAGGAGTGTCTTCTTGGAACTGTAGTACCATCATCCCTTCAGACTTGTTAATAGATGGGAAATTGTTTCTCTCAGCGACCTCAGGTCTCAAACCGCTATTACGTCTGAAAAGCTCGAGAACCTTCTCGTCTTCCATTTCATATTCATCGACATCATGATCTTCAAAGGTGACCACCATCTGTGAGTTAGATTGATCCATGGAGCCTTCTTCTGTGTAAACTACTGGATCAACCACATCAGCGATTGTACCTCTGATCCTTTCATCTTCCTTATCACTCCTCGTTTCCTCAACCGAGTTGCTTGCTTCTACAATGGTCTTCCCCTCATCTTCACCTACTTTTTCCATTCTACTTCTGGTATGCTTCCTCTCTCTTTACTTCTACTTTGAGCTGCTAGCCTGCTATGGTATGGATCTTTTACCGGTTCAAAGAGCACTCTGTTCACAGACTCAAGCTATCTAGAAGATTGCTTCATATTTTTGGTGCAATTTCATCATCGTTCAAACAACGATTGCAATACCAGACACATACTAAAACCAAGATATGAAGATAAAGAAGAGAAAAGTAAATACTATGATAGAAAGTTTGAAGAGTAGTTGAAAGAGAATAAAAGGAATGGATGGTGACCAAGAAAGAAGATGCTCGCAAAGTTGTGTTGACTGGTTGGTTCGTTATGAAAACAGGACATGAGTGTGTTCAAAGACACCAACTTTAGAACAGAGCATAAGAGAGAAACACATAAGAAAATAAACCTCATACTTCTTTTCACTATGATCATATCGATAGATTTGATCAGTTATATTCTACAATAAATTGGCTTTATTTCTGTCCGTTTGAGTCTTCTGTCTTCTCCAAGAAATCAAGAACTCTCTGTATTTTAAAAGAAATGGATTTCTAACTGTATTAACTGAGCCGTTGAGTCGAAATGAGGAGCCTTTCATTGTTAGACAGGTTGGTTTGTTTTCTCTCGTTTTCTGACATTTTGTGTGCTCTGTTACACTTTGGACTTCTGAATTCTGATAATGGAACCTTATAGCTCTTTCTATACCTTGCATTTAGCTGTTCGAAATCCGGCTCTGTTTACTGGAAAATGTGTGTACGTTTGAGGATGGAACCTTATAGCTCTGTTTCTATATCTCGCGTTTAGAATCGTAAGAAGGATTGTCACTTTGCAAAATCAATTTATACAAGTAGTACATTTGCAGGTTACATGGAATGTTATGAAAACATTTGGTCTCTCATTCATTTCTATTAATGCAAGTCTAGAACTTGTGGTGGATTTTGAATAACTGCATACATACAGGCTATATCAGTCTCATGGCTCTATTCTATGACACCTTGGGAGAAATTCTGATTGGCATTCCGAGGGATGGAAATGGGAGAGGATCCATGCTGATTGTCTCATCTGGATAGACTAAGGACCAATCGTAAAGGGTCACAACGAAATGCAAGAAAACGAGAATGCTCATTTTTGCTAGTTGATGACCTGCACAAAGTCTTGGACCTCCTCCAAATGGAAGATATGTATAGGCTTGTATTGGTTTATCAAACCTTGAAGGATCAAAACTCATTGGATCTTGAAATATTTCAGGATTATAATGAGTTCCGTAAGTTGTCCAAAGTATCTGCATTCACCAAATAACCGGAAGACTATTAGTATTTCAGTAAAGAAACAGAGTGTTGATTAGGAACTGAAGGAGCTAGAGTGGTTATGTGTTTCACCTTCCAGCCTTTGGGGATTGTGTATCCTCCATAGTCGATATCGACAACTGCTTTTCTGAAGGAACCGAAGACTGGAGGCGATAATCGCATTGCTTCACGAACAACTTGCCAACTATACGTCATCTTCTTCACATCTTCCACTGTAAGATGTTCTTCTTCACCTTTATTTGCTTTGATTTGAACATGTTCTGAGATGAATCAAGAGATATCTGAGAGTTTAGTATATGATTTTTGCTAACAGGAAAACGAATGTTTTGAGATTCCTTATTGTTTAGTTTGTTTACCTTGAAGGAGCGTGTCGCGGCAAGTTGGGTGCTGAGCTAACATCTTGAAAGTCATGGCCATAGCGTAAGAGGTTGTGTCATGAGCTGCAAACACTAGCAAAACCATATTATCTACAACCTCTTCTTCGGTTATATCGCCTTTGATCAAAGCTTCTACTAGCGTCGAGAAAAGCGTTGTGTTTGGCCTCTCAACTTCTTCTTCCATTTCTTTTCTCTTCTCCCTTACCTTCCCAACCAGCAATGTCTCTATCTCTAGCCTCGCCTTCTTCGCTCTAGCAAACCTAGAACAAGGAAACTCAACCGGCAAAGCGAAAACTCCATCTAAAACCCTCTCACAGATCTCTAACATCCCAAGCTCCACTTTGATCCCATACAAACACTCAAAGACTACACTAAAAGTGAGAGCTTTTGTTGAACGGTAGAGGCTAATCTCTTCCTTGCCTCGCCATTCGGTTTCAAGGTGAAACCTAACAGCATCACAAAGCTTAGGTACTAAAGACTCTAACCCGTTGTAACCAAGGTTATTAGCTATAATCCCTCTAAGAACCCGATGCTTCTCGCCTTGTTTAGCCATGATGCAATTCATGCCCATAAGCTGAACAGAAGAGGAAGGCCATGAGCTCTTCACTAAGTTAAACTCATTAGACAATATTAACCTATTTGCTTCAGCTCCATTGACTACTATGGTTGGTGATCCCATGATTTTTGTCTTGAAGATGTTACCATGTTTGATGATCCTTGGATTTACGAAATCTTCGAACAATCTGTTGCTTTTTTGAGCTTTGTAAAACTCCATTGTTTCACCAATCCATGGAATCCCCATTTCTCCAGGAGGAAGCTTCTTCTTCTTATTTTGAAGCTTCTTTGATGCGAATAGGTGAGGTTTCTTGCGGAAGAAGAAAAGTGTGCTTGAGATTGTTGCAGCTATGCATAAGAAGAACCATGGAATTAGAAAGTTTGGTTCTAATGCCATTTTGTTTGTTTACTTACACAAATTGTTAATGATCAAGTTTTGTAGAAATCTCTGGATTATGAGCTGAGTATTTATAAGTGGAGATTTTTGTGAATGTTAAGGTCAAAACCAAATTAAGTGAGATTATTCTAATTTTTTTCTTTTTGCTCTGACACATGATTGATCTTCAAGATACAGTTCCTTGGGAGCTTAGGCTACAATATCTTTTTAATTTTTTTTTATGTAGCAGACGGTGATACTTAACATGTTATGCAGGCAGATGCATACAAATGTAGTGATTATAAAATAAAATATCGATATAACTCACATTTCCAATTAACATAATAAAGTAAATAACCCCATCAAAATTGGTTTGGTTCATGTTCTAGCTCCAATGTATATCTTCTAAGAAAATTAAGAATTATAAAAATCCGAAATATATATAAATAAAAGAATCTAAACAATAGCTAGTTTTTTTTTATTATCTCTTCGGTTGGCGAATTTTGAATTAAATTGTTCTGAGGATATTTTCTGTACCGGTTCTGTTATCGAACGCACCAAACCGGTTAGATTTTATCCGTCCGGTTCGCTTGATTGAAATAGATTTTATCCACTTTTTGATTGGTGAGTGAATGATCAAACTCACTGAAACAATAGCTAGTTTTTATTGGTATAACGAATATAGTCTCTCTTATATGATAGATGTAGAAAAAAAACAAGTATGATTGTATCTCGGAAAACAGAACATTTTACGTTTGTAGATATGCTATTATGTATTATCAACAACCGATTTTTGATAGAAATATATGAATTATTCAAATGTATAAAATAGTTTTCTATATAACCAAGATTGTAAATGAATAACAAGTTGACTTTTGGATAAAATTGTAGTATTTCTCATTTTGGGTGAGAAATAGAGAGTGAGAGACATTGCATGTGCTTGGAAGTTGGAATCTGCTATAACCAAGATTGTAAATGAATGCATATAACATATGAATCCGATCCCCATAATCTCCCTCTTAAATAATTTCGTATTTTTATATGTTTTCTGTTCATCATAATAGTATTAAGTATAAACTATATGTAAACAACTAAACACACTTGCAGACGAAATTTTGATTAGAAAAATATTATATTTTGGGAAGTAAAAATTATACGCGAATCCCTAAAGATCTGCTATGGCCGGCTGCTTCTGTTATGTCGAAGTTACGTTGCAAACTGCGTTTATTTAGAGAGTGATTAAACTAATCTTAATTAAGGTC